CTCTAGTTCTCGCAGCAGTCACACCGGGGACTTCTCTCCACTCTACGCTTCAGGTAGCGCACAGCAGTCGAAGTAAGTCAAGCATCTTATTTCTGCCAGACGACCAGGTAGCGTTTCAACAGTGCCCTTTGCTTGAATTTGCGTAATGATGCTGTCCTAGTGTCTCTTGGTATGTTATAACATCTTTGCAATCTTCTTTATGCCATTGCCCTTCTGTGAAGAGAAATCAACCTCTTCTCTTGTCTTCCTGGGGACCATTCTCTTTTGCCTTCACCAATGTTTGTAACCTCACAACAGTAAATGTCTAGAAGGAGCTGAGTATCACAGTCATTTTTTAAAGCTGCCTATATGGTGCTTTTTATGCTTGATTGCTGCTCGGGTGACATCCACAGGTGTTTTCAATACCTGATGGAAAGCACCTGTATGAACCTCTGTTCTTCAGTAGTGGTAGTCTTTAAGGGGGGTTGAATAATTGCTGGCAATGAAGAAACCACATAAGAACCATTTACTACTGTATTACATAAACAATTGATGTCATTTTAGTCTGCATTTGGGTAGTTACGACGTCCTTGTAGGATTTGATTCTGAATACAATTCCAAATGTACACTATAGTCCCTAAAAACCCCTTTACAGCATTGGGGGGTTGTAATAAGTTTGGTCACCAACTGTATATTGTAGGCTTAGCAGCGCAGGTGGGGACCTATTACTTACCAATTCTGGAATGGCATGTCGCCCGCACTGGAAAACGCAACGTACTGGGAACCTCGGCTGCGTCTTTCAGAAGTGACGGGACTTCTTCCCTGCGTGTCTATGGCAGTCCATTCAAATGAATGTGCTCTTGTGCCTGCGCAAAACGCGGCCCTCACGGCAGACATAGATGTGAACCGTGGGGGTAATTGTCCCTTCCTAATATGTGTATGTATGAAATGTGAGTAGGGGACCTTAGATTGTGAACGCTCCTCGGGGGCGGGGGGAACTGATGTGAATGTACAATTATATATGTAAAGTGCTGCGTACATGACGGCGCTATGTAGAAGTACTGTGAATTAACCCCTCGCCCTCCAGAGGATTTCCCCCTTCCTGACCAGGCATATTTTTTTCTGCGATTTGCGGCGCTGCGTTACTTCAACTGATAATTGCACGGTCATGCAACGCTGCACGCCAAATTAAAATTTACGTCTTTTTCGCCCACAAATAGAGCTTTCTTTTTGTGGCATTTGATCGCCTGTGCGTTTTTTTTTTTTTTTTTTTTTTGCGCTAAAAAATTTAAAAAGACCAATTTTGAGGAAAATAACTACATTTTTGACTTTTTGCTATCAAAAAAAAAAAATGTAAAATAGATTTTCGTCATAAATTTCGGCCAAAATGTATTATGCTGTGTCTTTGCCTAAAAAAAAAAAAAAAAAAAAAAAAATCCCAATACGTGCTGTAAAATTAATTGGTTTACATGCAAGTTATAGCCTTACAAATGGCGGGTATGTGATAATGGAATTTATTTATTTTTGCTGTAATCCCCGCGGGCGATCAGCGACTTAAAGCGGACTGAGAGCGGGGCATTCTGACACCGGGGGAGGGGGAGGAGAGAACTGACTTGGTGTCACTGACATCCCCGAGGTGACACCAATACAGTGATCAGTGCTAATAATGGCACTGGGCCAGGGAAGGGGCTAACATCTTGATGGCGTCAAAGGGTTCTGTTTCCCAATGGGGGCTGTTTGCTGTGTTTTCACTGAAGAATGCTATATGCAGAGCCATACAAAAGCAGGTGTGCCAGGAGCTGACAGGAGATGATCTGGTGTTGTTTACATACAGGTCTCTCCCCTGTCGGATGATTGCTATGTGATCACCGGGTGCCAAGAAGTACTTCACCAGGCATGGGACCCAGTGATTGACAGCGCCAAAGCATGCGAACGGCACGCGCACCCCTAACCGGAACTGCAAAATATGTATTACATGGTGTGATTTTGCGCTCCCCGTCCCGCCCCGTAGCAGTATTTCTGCTATAGGACAGGCAGAACTGGTTAAGATACCAAAGTCAGAGCAGATTCAGACCTCAGTTCTTCCATAGCTATCCAAGGGCAGTTACCGTTCTGACCACCATGCATCCTTGTCCTGTACTCCCTGCACGTGCAGGACGTGGGCGCAGGATGACACCCCTTACTGCAAGCATCATTACTGCTGTGTTGTGCGGGCGTAATAGTTGTTGGCAAAAGAAAAAAAAAAAATCCCAGCTGCAGTTACAAGCCACTGGCAGCTTTCTAAGTGTCTCCCTCTTATAAACAGACCCATATAAGTTGTCATGGGTCAATGCATGTCTTTAGGGTTTCCTACCCACGTCCCGTCCGGTTCCGGCCCATGTATATAAACGGCCCCCAAGATGGTGGCAGTGGTGACCGTGTTTATGAACATCCTCCCCGCCCCCCTGCTTGTGCGCGCTCCCTGGGAGCACGCAGCACCGCTGATCCGGTGCCCTCTGTGTCTCCAGACACATGCGGAACACCAATTGTTGTACAGGACCTCTGTGTGAGGTCCCGATCATGTGATCACTGCTTGGCCAATCAGTGATCACATGAGTAGTAGTAAGCAAGATGTCACTTCTGGACTTCATTGCTTACTACTTATGAATGATCACAGAGGTCACATGGTCAGGGCTATTTGCAACAGCCTTTTTGTACCATGTGACCGACGCTGTGACCAATCACAGACTCACACAGTATTTCTCAATGGCTGCAAGAATGCAGAACTAGAGAAAAGGAGAGAATTGATTGCCTTTACAGCCTTTTATGGGTTGTAAAAACAATCAGTGTAAAAAAAAGAAAAAAAAAATCTTCATCACCCCCAAGTAGTACAGTGTCCACCAATGGTGTCACTGTACTGCTAGGGCGACGGAATATTAAAAACTAAAAATAAAAATGGATTAAAACAATATGTTTGAAAAATTTATAAATTTTTGGTTATAAAACTAGTTTGGGGTTTTTTTTTGTGTTTACTAATAAGATAGATGAATACATTTTGGCCAGGATTTATGAAGAAAGATTATTTGCAAAATTTTTTATAGAGGAATACTTTTTTTTTTTTTTTTTTTTCAAAATTTTGTGGACTTTTTCATTTATATAGCACAAACAATGAAAAATCCAGCGTGTGAATAAATACCACCAAAATAAAACGTTTTTATCTGTCTTCAAAAAAATGCTAAAAAAAATTCATACGGGTACAGTGTTGCATGACCGCGCAATTGTCATTCAAAGTGTGATAGCGCTGAAAATTGGCCTGGACAGGAAGGGGGTGAAAGTGTCCGGACTGGAAGGGGGGGGAAAGCGTCTGGACCGGAAGGGGGGGGAAAGCGTTCTGGACCGGAAAAGGGGGGGGGAAGCGTCCGGACCGAAGGGGGGGAGGGGAAAGCTCGTGTCTGGACCGGAAGGGGGGGGGATAAAGCGTTCGGACCGGAAGGGGGGGGGAAAGCGTCCGGGACCGGAAGGGGGGGGAAAGCGTCCGGACCCGGAAGGGGGGGGAAAGCGTTCCGGGACCGGAAGGGGGGGGGGGAAAGCGTCTGGACCGGGAAGGGGGAGGAAAAAAGCGTACCCCTGTCCGGACGGAAGGGGGGGGGGGGGGGGAAAGCGTCCGGACATGAAAGGGGTAAACCACCTTTACAGAGAAAAAATGAATGTAAGGTGAACTAATGCAATAAACCTGCCCCCCCCCCCCCACCAGTTCCCCACTGTGTTTTCCCACTGGGGTTGCTGGGCTGTCAGTGGTTCAGGGATTTGAACATCATCCCACTCGTCTTCCTTTTCTCTGTGCAGCGCTTCCAGGAGTGATTCTGATTGGTCATCGCCTGCTCATTGAAACTCGGGGCACTGGGGTCATAAGGGGCCCCATGAGATGCCCCTGGTCTCCTTTTTTCATAGGCTTGAGTTTGGGCAAGGACACAGGGGCCCCCATGATCCCTATTGCCCCATGAGTTGTCAGTCCGCCCCTGTGCAGGCCGTACACGGGTCAATATACCGCACCGCATGTATGTGAACCGGGTTTAGGAACAAACCAGTTTGCTGGAAGCATAATAATCTAATAATCTAGCTGCTTCTTCATCATTTGCCAGAAACAAAGTCTATTTTTTCTTTTTTTTTTTTTTCCTCTCGGGATCACTTTTGTAATATTTGTTTTCCCAACTTTGACTTAATTCAATTTATGAAATGAAAACCTCTCATATTTTGTGCCGACATCAGAGAGAAACAAACGAAACACCTACTCATTGTACAGAAATGAAAGATCCGAGAGGGTAAACCGAGTGAGAGAAATGGGTCCGATTCCCGGGAGCGGGGGGTGTGGAAGGAAAGAACAAAAGGGAAGCGGAAATGCTCTTGTTCGGGACAGAATGGAAGACAAACTAAAGGACAAATTGGATTTAATTAGCCGAGAAACTCTGAGATTGTGGAGGGTTTGATAAATGAAGGTCGGGGTATATAGAATGAAAGGAGATCCATTTTGTGACTTTTTAAAGCCGAACGACTCTCTCTCACATCAACACGAACGATTTTTAATTTTTACGTTGCCAGCGTTAGTGAATGGATAGGAAGGCATATTTATATTTACTTAAATTTTTTTTTCCTTTACATTTCTTCAGTTGCTTCCTGGTGTTTGGCCTAAGCAAATGATGTCATACACCCCAGGAGTCTTCATGGGAGGAGGGGCTTTCTTAGCTAAGCACACCCTCCTGCATGCATGCGCCGAGCTAAGCGCAGATGGATTCCAGGAAGTAAATGCTGAATGAATCAACTGCCTTACTCAAGATGGTTGTAGCTAGAAATAGTGTGTGTGTTGTGTGTGGGGGTTCAAAGTAATTTCTCCACAAAATGAAAACTCTAAGGGCTCATGTACAACTCACGCTTAGGAGCTGCTCTGTGTTTGTTTAAACAGCCCCTGAAACCCTCCCTAATGTTTTCCTATGTGTCCCGTGTACACATCTTCGTTTACAGTCGTTTTTTTTGTTACGCACCCCAACTTGCGTTCAGCAGTCGATCTTATGAGTGTTTCAAACGCAAAACGCTTGTAAACGCGGGCAAATCGTGTTTATAAGCGTTTGTGTTTGTGCTGTCCGGAGCCTTTTTTCATCATGAAAAATGCATGCAAAGCGTTTTCAAGGTACTCAGATGGACAAAACACTGAACACAGGATGTTCCTACCAAGCTTGGCACACATTGTAATGACCGATTCACACCTCAGACCTCTCCCACCTTGGAAACAAAAAAAAATATGTTAATGACCATTCACACCTCAGACCTCTCCCACCCTTGGAAACGCAAGATATGTTAATGACCAATCACACTCAGACCTCTCTCCCACCCTTGGAAACAAGATATGTTAATGACCAATTCACACTTCAGACCTCTCCGACCCTTGGAAACAAGATATGTTAATGACCAATTCAACACCTCAGACCTCTCCCACCCTTGGAAACAAAAGATATGTTAATGACCATTCACACCTCAGACCTCTCCCGCCCTTGGAAACAAAAGATATGTTAATGACCATTCACACTTCAGACCTCTCCGACCCTTGGAAACAAGATATGTTAATGACCAATTCACACCTCAGACTCTCTCCACCCTTGGAAACAAGATATGTTAATGACCAATTCACACCTCAGACCTCCTCCCCACCTTGGAAACAAAAGATATGTTAATGACCATTCACACCTCAGACCTCTCCCGCCCTTGGAAACAAAAGATATGTTAATGACCATTCACACCTCAGACCTCTCCCACCCTTGGAAACAAAAGATATGTTAATGACCATTCACAACTCAGACCTCTCCCACCCCTTGGAAACAAAAGATATGTTAATGACCATTCACACCTCAGACCTCTCCCGCCCTTGGAAACAAAACGATCGAGATTGTATTAATGACCATTCACACTCAGACCTCTACCCCACCTTGGAAACAAAAAGATATGTTAATGACCATTCACACCTCAGACCTTCTCCCACCCTTGGAAACAAAAGATATGTTAATGACCATTCACACCTCAGACCTCTCCCACCCTTGGAACAAAAGATATGTTAATGACCATTCACATCCCTCAGACCTCTCATCCCACCCTTGGAAACAAAAGATATTTAATTGACCATTCACACCTCAGACCTCTCCCACCCTTGGAAACAAACGATTTTGTTAATGAACATTCACACCTCAAATTTCTCATCATGAAGACCCCTGCCAGGTGGCCTTAATGACTCCTCCACCAGACACCTTTCTTCCACCCTTGGAAGCCAAAGCAATGTTAATGAGCAACTTGCACCTAAGCTATTTCAACGAATACTGCTGTCTCTGCTTCTACTCTCTGTATTTCTCTGAAAACAGTTAATTAATTACCACTTTTCAGTGCATTCTGGGCATCTGGGATGCTCTCCTGTGCTTATCTTTAAAAATCGCTTCTAAACGCACACAAACGCGTTATTCAAACACGGCCTAAACACGTTTTTTAACCTGCGTTTTCCAGCAGTCCGTTTCCATCGTTCAGAAGTGTCCCGTGTACATGGGGCCTAATTCAGTCATTCATTTCATTAATGTCTCCATGCTTCAAATTGTGGTCCTCAGATACAAGTAAAGTGGATTTTCACCCCCCCTTTTTTTTTTTTCCTCACCATTTAAGCTCTTTGGGTGTACTATGTACGTCCAAAGACTGAGGCTCCAATCACACTAGCATTTTTTTTCAAGCTCCTAGAAGCTATTGGCAGCCTTTTTTTTTCTTCTCCTAGCAGCTAAATAGTGTTCTCCTATGTGTCCATTTTTTTTTTTTTTTTGGAGCGTTTTTTTCCAGCAGAAACGCTAAACGTTCATAAACGCTACTAAAACGCTCACAATAGCTTTTTTTTTTTTTTTCCCTCTACATTTACTGTAAAAAAGCCAATAAATCGCTAACTCTCCTGAATGCTACTAAAACGCTACTACCAGCTTTTTTTTTTTCCAGCATTTTTCTTAGTGGTTTAGGAGCTTAAGGCTCTAGTGTACATGGAGACTGATCCTGTAGCTCTGGAGCCGAACTGGTTCAACCACTACGTACCAGGTGGTGAGTCCCGCACGTTTCCGATACTAACCCACCCAGCGGATCCAGCGTTTTCCAGCTGAGAGCCTCTTCTCTTCAGGCAGCGCTCAGTCCCACGCCGCCATGTTTTGGTGTGATGTCACCGAGAGGCAGATGGCTTTTCAATCGGCGTACCACCCAGTGACACGCTCCTCTTCCTGAATGCAGAGCTTTGCCTCCTGGGATATGTGAGGTGCGTTTCCAAAGGGAGGACCATGTGCTGGTGCCAAGGCAAATGATGTTCAAGGGAGGGCGGGCCTGGGAAATTTATTTAAAAAAAAAAAAAAAAAAAAAAAAAGTAAATGGAGAAATAAAAAAAAAAAAAAAAAAAAGGTAAATGGAGAAAATAAAAAAAAAAATAAAAAAAGGTAAATGGCGAGAAAAAAAAAAAAAAAAAAAAAAAAAAGGTAAAAGGCGAAATAAAAAAATGGAGAAGAAAAAGAAAATAAAAAGTGCAATTGGAGGACTAGAGGAGAGGAGGGATAATATATTTACGGGTGGAGATCCACTTTAAGTTCTGCTTTCATAAAGGTCCAGGTTATTGAATGGAAGAGGTCCACTTGCGGCTCTCCATATAGAAGTGTGTCTGAGTTTCTGTATAGCATCCAGAACATGGAAGTGGAAGATTGGGGGCCCTGCATTCTCCAGCTAAATTGGAAGCCTACCTCCTACTCTTCCAGATTTCTAGATGCTGTGATTTAAATTAACAATCGCATATAAAACCATTTATAACTCCACCCCTAATTACATCACCAATCTTGTCTCCAAATATCACCCAAACCGTCCTCCCGAGACCTCCTGCTCTCTAGCTCCCTTGTCTCCTCCTCCCATGCTCGTCTCCAGGACTTCTCCAGAGCTTCCCCCATCCTCTGGAACTCTCTACCCAAATTTATCAGACTATCGCCTACTCTGCTCACTTTTAGGCGATCTCTGAAAACCGATCTCTTCAGGGAAGCCTATCCTGCCCTCAGCTAATAATGGAATTGTCTACTTTTCCAACCAGTCCATCCCCCACAGTTACTACCTTTTGTCCCACTAGCCCCTCCCTCTTAGATTGTAAGCTCCCAGGATCAGGGCCCTCCTATCCCTCTTGTATTGAACTGTATTGTTGCTGTATTGTCTCCTGTTATATTGTACAGCGCTGAGCAAACTGTTGGCGCCATAAATCCTGTATAATAGCATCAAGCAAATGGAAGTGGAAGATTGGGGCCCCCGGGTTCTCCAGCCATGTGAACTAAATTGGAAGCCTACCTCCTACTCTTCCAGGGAGGGTGCTTCTTCAGATTTCTAGATGCTGTGATTTCAATTAACAATCCTACTAAAACCTTTTATAATTCTGCCCCCAATTACATCGCCAATCTTGTCTCCAAATATCACCCAAACCGTCCTCCCGAGACCTCCTGCTCTCTAGCTCCCTTGTCTCCTCCTGCCATGCTCGTCTCCAGGACTTCTCCAGAGCCTCCCCCCATCCTCTGGAACTCTCAACCCCAATCTATCAGACGATCGCCTACTCTGCTCACTTTTAGGCGATCTATGAAAACCTCTCTCTTCAGGGAAGCCTATCCTGCCCTCAGCTAATAATGGAATCTTCTATTCCTCCTACCAGTCCATCCCCCACAGTTATTACCTTTTGTACCACTAGCCCCTCTCTCTTAGATTGTAAGCTCCCAGGATCAGGCCCTCCTATCCCTCTTGTATTGAACTGTATTGTTGCTGTATTGTCTCCCTTTATATTGTAAAGTGCTGAGCAAACTGTTGGCGCCATAAATCCTGTATATAATAATAATAATCCTGTATAATAATAATAGCATCCAGCAAATGGAAGTGGAAGATTGGGGGCCCCGGGTTCTCCAGCCAAGTAAACTAAATTGGAAGCCTACCTCCTACTCTTCCAGGGAGGGTGCTTCTTCAGATTTCTAGATTCTGTGATGTAACTGTATACCTTTTTGGTGCTCTGGAACTTCAGGTATTTTTGAAATACACATTTTATTGCAGTACAGACACTGTCCTTTGCAGTAATTGTCTTGCTTCTTTTGGTTGGTAGACTGCTTCAGGGATCTTTTTTGCTTTTTTTTATTTTTTTTTTTAATTTTATTTAATTTTTATTTATTTATTTTTATTTTATATTTATTTTTTTATTTAATTTTTTTAAATTTTATCTTTTTTAATTTTTTTTCGATGTAGTATAGCATTGTATCTGATATGTCGTCATGGTAATTTGTTTTTTTTTTTCTTTTTCAGCAAACCGCTGATTGGAACAAATATGATGACCGGTTAATGAAAGCGGCAGAGAGGGGAGATGTAGAGAAGATTTCCGCCACTCTCACCAAGAAGGGAGTGAACCCCAGCAAGTTGGACCTAGAGGGACGCTCGGCGTAAGTGCCGTAAAATCTCTATAGTGTGCAGTACCTGTAGTGAGAAATTTACTTTTTTTTTTTTTTTTTTTTTTTTTATATTGCACCATCAGTTTACACAGAAGTTTACATATACAGGGGTTAGACAAAAATATGGAAACATTCCATGATCTGCAGGTGTGAAAGGGACGACATGTTTTACTTTGAAAGCGGAAGTGATGTAACGTTCTTTTGCTTCCGCTGTGTGATGAGACACCTAGTTAACAGGTGGTAAGCCTCACTTTCCTCATTCACTGCGTGCGCTGCTGGTAAAAAGGACTCATGTCAGAGCTTACGGGACTTCAAAGAGGGCAAATTGTTGGTGCCGCTTAGTTGGTGCCTCTGTGACTGAAGTCGCCCATTTATTTGTCATGTGGAGAGGTCCAGGATCAAAGGTTATGACGGCGTATACAGATTCTGGGAAAACGTCGTTTGATAAGCGCGGTCGCCATGGTCAGCTGACCGAAAGAGACAAAAGGACGTTGCGCAGCATTGTGACCCGGAATAAGAAAAACTGCCGCTGCAAAAGTGACTGCAGAGCTCAATCTCAGTCTTCGTGGGACTCCGCCTACTAAAGTACTAAAACAAGTTTTATTTATAGAAAGTTTGTGATAAATCTAGCAGATTCTTGCAATAAAACCTTTAGGCCCCTTTCACATGATTGGACCGATTGGGTCAGTCTGTCTGTTCCGACCTAATCAGACCACCCATTGTTCTCTATGGGGAGGCGGATGTAAACGGACATTTCTGTTTTTACCCGCCTGCATCCGATCCGATAAAAACCGATGGATGGGGGATCCGTTCTGCTCTATTGGATGACGCTCGGATGTAAACTGACAGACGGTCCATTTTACATCCAACCGCCCCATAGAGAACAGCGGGCCGTGTCCACTCCGCACAATGCGAATCCGCAGCGGCACCACCCGCACAGATGTGAACCTAGGGTAATAGGCCATGATATATTCTCGCATGACAGAGGACTCTACCCCCCCCCCCCCCCCCCAAGATATCAAGAGGGAACCCTCAGGGATGGACCAAGGATAAAATTCCATCCCTGAGGGTTCCCTCTTGATATCTGGGGGGGGGGGCGGGGTAGAGTCCTCTGTCATCTGTCATGCGGGAATATCATTTCATATCATATCTCAAAATTTCTTTTGAGGTTTAGCCTTTTATATGTGCTGTCTTTTTTTTCTTCCTCTTTGTTTTTGAATATTGATTAGTTGGCACCCTTCCAGACATTCCGGTGGCACCTCCACTTCTAGACACCGTACATGGATTCCCCAGCGTTTCCCAATTCAGTGCAAACACGGGGAGTTTGAAATCTGTTCTTCATAGTTTACACTGAGAGGAAACAAAGTGTGAAGCAATATTTAGCATAGTCACCACTCGGCGGTATGGCGTGGAATACGGCGTGCAGGGGCGGGCTGACCATTTGGAAACTCGGGCACTCCCAGGAGTCTTCAGGAGGGGAGGGAGGGTTCTCCGCTCAGCCAATACCTAAGCTAAGGACAGATGGATTCCAAGAAGTAACTGCTACATGAATCATTTGCCCTTACTCAAGATGGCCACTGCCAGAAAGTCCAGGGCAGGGGCGGACTGACCATTTGGAAACTCAGGCACTGCCCGAGGGCCCAGGGTCAGTAGGGGGCCCCATGAGTTGCCCCTGGTACCTTTTTCATAGGCTTTTTTGAGTTTGGGCAAGGACACAGGGGCCCCATGATCCCCTATTGCCCGGGGGCCCCATGAGGAGTTAGTCCGCCCCTGGCGGCGTGTAATCTGTGATGCACTGAAATGCATGGATAGGAAGCCTTCATTAAATCTTTATCTTTGGCTTCAGTATGTTACTATTTTATCTCCTGCCAATGAATCCGATCGTTTTAGAAAGCTTTGTTTCATCACGTTCCGCGTTTGTTTTTTGGCGCTCAGTATGTTGACCATATATGGAGAGATGGGGATCTGAGAGAAACGGGGAAAGGAGGAAGCTCTGGATCTCTCCAATAATTGAATCCATTTGTAGAAACGATAAGGCCTCTTGAACCGATAAAATGAACCCTGGATATACCGAGGAAATCCTATAAACCAGATTTTTTCAGTGGAGGATAATCTCTAAAAAAAAAAAAAAAAAAAAAAAAATTGCAAACAAAAACATACAAAATGTTTGCACGTTTCCCAAATGGAGGCCTTATTATTATTATTATTATTATTATTATTATTTTATTTTGTTGGGTTTTTAATTAGTTTTTTTTGTGGGTTTTTTTATTATTTTGTTGGCTTTTTTTTTTTTTTTTTTTTTTTTTTTTATTTTTTTTTTTTATTTTGTTGGCTTTTTCTTTTTGTTGTTGTTGTTGTGTTTTTTTCATCATTACTTTGTTGTTGTGTTTTCTATTATTTTGTCAAATGCCAAAGGATTTTTTGTCTGAAAATCAAAACGTCATTCGCTCGGTAATCCGATGGTGCCATCAATTGTTTTGGCGCTCAGTATGTTGACCATTTATGGAGAGATGGGGATCTGAGAGAAACGGGGAAAGGTGGAAGCTCTGGATCTCTCCAATAATTGAATCCATTTGTAGAAACGATAAGGCCTCTTGCACTGATAAAATGAACCCTGGATATACCGAGGAAATCATATAAACGAGATTTTTCAGTGGAGGATAATCTCTAAAAAAAAAATAAAAAAAATTTGCAACATACAAAATGTTTGCACGTTTCCCAAATGGAGGCCTTATTATTATTATTATTTTTATTTTATTTTGTTGGGTTTTTAATTTAGTTTTTTGTGGGGGGTTTTTATTATTTTGTTGGCTTTTTTCTTTTGTTTTTTTTTATTATTATTTTGTTGGCTTATTCTTTTGTTGATTTTTCAGTGGAGGAAAATCGCTCAAAAAAAAAAAAAATTGCAAACAAAAACATACATAATGTTTGCATGTTTCCCAAATGGAGGCCTTATTATTATTATTTTGTTGGGTTTTTAATTTAGTTTTTTTGTGGGGTTTTTTATTATTTTGTTGGCTTTTTTTTTTTTTTTTTTTTTTTTTTATTATTATTTTGTTGGCTTATTCTTTTGTTGGCTTATTCTTTTGTTGATTTTTCAGTGGAGGATAATCGCTCAAAAAAAAAAAAATTGCAAACAAAAACATACATAATGTTTACATGTTTCCCAAATGGAGGCCATATTATTATTATTTTATGGGGTTTTTAATTTTGTTTTTTTGGGTTTTTTTTTTTTATTATTACCTTGGTGTCAGTGGAAGGAATTGAACCTTGGATATACCGAGGAAATCATATAAATGAGACTTTTCAGTGGAGGATAATCTCTAAAAATAAAAATTGCAAACAAAAACATAGATATGTTTACATGCTTCCCTATTGCAGGCCATACATGGGTCGAATTCCGACACATAGGATAACATGCTGGGCTGTAGAAAAAACGTCAAAACAAAAAACAGCCGCTGTAAAAACATCCGGTGTGCATGATGATTTGTGCAGGCCATACACGGGTTGAATTCCGAACGATTTTTCGTCCGAAAATCAAAAACGTCGTTCGCTCAGTAAATCCGATGGCGCCATCAATGATTTAAAAAATTGGCCGACCGAGTCATAACGTTCACCCCATATAACAGGCGAAACTTCTGTTCCTTCCAGGTCACGGCTCATGGCGTGTATTCTTTTAGGAAAAACGATCGTACGATTTGACCATCATTGAGTGGAAAATCGGTCATTTTTCATGAATTTTCCAACATGCCCGATCACCGAAAAGGAGAGGAGCCATGAAAATCGTCTGGTGCCATTGACTCCCACTAACACAGCGAAAATCGTCCGATTTATTCTTGGGTCCGATTTTCGGACGAAAAATTGGTCGAATTCCAACCCATGCATGGCTTTGGTTCACACTACTGTGACCTACGGTGCAACTGTGCCAGGCGACTTGCTGGCGACTTAAGTACTACTTTTGACGCGGCTTTATGTGACTCTGAACCGATTTTTGTGTCACGTGACTTTGGCTTTGGCCAATGAGAACATCAGCTACAAGTAATCTTTGGAATTTTGGATCCAAATCACATCAATAGAGATGAGGATCCGATTTGGAGGCAAATTCCATTAAAGTCTATGGGCACAGATCGGATAGAAGTCGCCTTGTAGTACGGGAACTTTTGTAAAGTCGGAGCGACTTCAGTAGCGCAAATTAAAGCGGCGCTCCGGGACACGTTTATTAGCCCCTTGGCGCCTGGCCCTTTTAAGGGTTCCAGAAGCCGGGAGGCGTGGCTGGGATTTAGGGTCATGTGACCACCGTGATTCGCTGTCACGGTGGTCACATGATTGGGAAGAGTTCCAATCGAAAGAGGAGATCGGGACCTTTCTGTGAATACCGAATGTGTGTGCTGGGAGCGCGCAGGGAACGCAAATGTGTGACCGCTCGGTGTCTAGGCCCAGACGCGTGTGGCCTCACATTTGCGTTCGGCCGGCGCCAAGAGGTTAAAAATCGACAGCTACAGTTTTTATAGCTGCTGACTTTTCGTTTTTACAAATGGCCACTCGCCTGTCCCACGATCCACCGCTGTGCTCAACCCAGCGGTTGTCCGTTGGTGTCTCCCCCCCCCCCCCCCCGGTGTCGGCATCTTTACTACAGCTTGTGGCTTCACAGCTGGGTGTCCCGCAGTCATCAGGAGCCTGTCATGTGTCCCAGAAGTCTGGCCTAGTCAGAGTCCAGACCTAAATCCCATTGAAAATGGTGAAGGAATTTTTTTTTCCCTGCAGGAGCAAATTGGATTGTGCTTTGCAGGTTTTTTTTTTTTTTTTTTTTTGCCTTCCTCTGGACTAACTGTGGATGTAGGATTATAACTTTTTTTTTTTTTTTTTTTTTTTTTTTTTTTTTATTGGTTGAACTGGATGGACTTCCTTTTTTTTCAGCCAGACTAACTATGTAACTATGAAAATCTGTGGAATGACTTGAAAACTGCCGTCCACAAACGGTCACCATCAAATGTCACTGAACCTGAGCCGTTCTGCAAAGAAGAGCGGGCGAATATCGCAAAGTCCCAACAGACTAAAGGCTGGAATTAAAGCAAAGGGGGTTCAACAAAATACTGACACAAGGGGGGGGGGGGGGGGGGGGATTATTTTTTCAACTCATTCCGTTTTTGCTTTTTTTTTTTCTGTCATGTTGCTGTTACATCTTTCACTTGGCTGTTATAGGAGTAAATACAGTTGGATAAAACAAAAATGGTGTCTGTCTTCATTTCAGGCTGCAAAGCAACAAAATGTCATTATTTTAAAAGGGGGGGGGGGGGGGGTTTTCTCTAACCAGTGACACGGAGTCATGGACCAGGTGAGACACAGCAGCCCGCCCCTGTACTGTGTCCCTTCCGTGGGAAGGGGGGGGGCAGCGGCGCCACAGTGCCACCCCCCTAAAAAATTCTGCCATAGGCAAACGCCTTGTTTGCCTCGCGGCAAATACGCCCCTGCTAACCACTGTAGATGAGTAGGAGAATTAATGCGTTTTGCCCCCCCCCCCTTCCTCCCTTGTGCTCCTTACATTTAGACATTTTATGCCAGTCCTAGAGGGGCAGCTCGATCTTTTTCTGACTCCCCATTTGGATGTTGTTTGACCAAACATGTTAAGGACCCATAGGGCTGGGAGGAGAAATTTTATCCAATTTTTTTTTTTTTTTTTTTTAGGGATTTGGTGGTAATTATGTGACTTCACCTGAAATTAATTAGGATAGCCTCTTGCACATGGACGTCTGAGCCTGTGCAATGTACGCATCCCGGGTGCTCCGTACACAAGCATCGCATATGGATGTATACAATGAATAGAACATTTTCTTTGCATATACCCATACGTTAGATTCGTGCTTATGCAAGTAAAAGTGTATGCCATTCATGTTTGTGAGTGGCTGTACGCATCATTGGTGTCAGTGGGAGGAAATAGTGTCCCATCATTGGTATCAGTGCGAGGAATAGTGCCCCATCATTGGTGTCAGTGCGAGGAATAGTGCCCCATCATTGGTGTCAGTGGGAGGAATAGCGCCCCATCATTGGTATCAGTGGGAGGAATAGTGCCCCATCATTGGTGTCAGTGGGAGGAATAGTGCCCCATCATTGGTATCAGTGGGGGGAATAGTGCCCCATCATTGGTATCAGTGGGAGGAATAGTGCCCCATCATTGGTATTAGTGGGAGGAATAGTGCCCCATCATTGGTATCAGTGGGAGGAATAGTGCCCCATCATTGGTGTCAGTGTGAGGAATAGTGCCCCATCATTGGTGTCGGTGGGAGGAATAGTGCCCCATCATTGGTGTCAGTGTGAGGAATAGTGCCCCATCATTGGTGTCGGTGGGAGGAATAGTGCCCCATCATTGGTGTCAGTGGGAGGAATAGTGCCCCATCATTGGTGTCAGTGGGGAGGAATAGTGCCCCATCGTTGGTGTCAGTGAGAGGAATAGTGCCCCATCGTTGGTATCAGTGGGAGGAATAGTGCCCCATCATTGGTGTCGGTGGGGGGAATAGTGCCCCATCATTGGTGTCGGTGGGAGGAATAGTGCCCCATCATTGGTGTCAGTGGGAGGAATAGTGCCTCATCATTGGTGTCAGTGGGAGGAATAGTGCCCCATCATTGGTGTCAGTGGGAGGAATAGTGCCCCATCATTGGTATCAGTGAGGAGGAATAGTGCCCCATCATTGTTGGTATCAGTGGGAGGAATAGTGCCCCATCATTGGTGTCAGTGGGGGGAATAGTGCCCCATCATTGGTGTCGGTGGGAGGAATAGTGCCCCATCATTGGTGTCAGTGGGAGGAATAGTGCCTCATCATTGGTGTCAGTGGGGGGAATAGTGCCCCAAGGGCCGGATAATGGTAAGCAAAGGCCTGCACTTTAGAGAATTGGATCGGAAAGAAGGGACAAGCCCTCTACCTGTCCAGGTTACAAAATCGAATATAATAGTTTTCTATTTATCTGTCACCAGATTTGTAGATCGTGTTTGTCACTCACGTTGCTTCCCTCGTGTATACACACAGAGCTTTGTGACGCCCGGATTCCCGAGTCATTGTTGTGTCATGGAGTCGCGGGGAGAGCCCCGCCTATAAACCCGGCAGGATGTGAACATTTATGTGAAAAGCTTAATTATCTCTACATTTGGGCAGTGCAGCTCGGCGTGGTGGGCGGGGTGCCTGGATTAGTGAGTAATTCACACTTTTATTGCTTTTTTTTTTTATTTTGTCTTCCAGATTCCATGTTGTCGCTTCTAAGGGTCACCTGGAGAGTCTAAACTCCATTCTGTTACATGGCGTGGATCTCACGGCTCCCGACGCTGCCGGTACGTTGGCTGCTTCCTTGCTTCTCCTTAACTCCTCTTGCCAGAGCAGTTTTTTCATTTTTTGCACTCGTTTAACCACTTCTAGTCCGGACACTTTCCCCCCCGCCTTCCGGTCCGGACACTTTCCCCCCCGCCTTCGGTCCGGACACTTTCCCCCCCGCCTTCCGGTCCCTTCCGGTCCGGACACTTTCCCCCCGCCTTCCGGTCCGGACACTTTCCCCCCCGCCTTCCGGTCCGGACACTTTCCCCCCCCCCGCCTTCCGGTCCGGACACTTTCCCCCCCGCCTTCCGGTCCGGACACTTTCCCCCCCGCCTTCCGGTCCGGACACTTTCCCCCCCGCCTTCCGGTCCGGACACTTTCCCCCCCCGCCTTCCGGTCCGGACACTTTCCCCCCCGCCTTCCGGTCCGGACACTTTCCCCCCCGCCTTCCGGTCCGGACACTTTCCCCCCCGCCGCCTTCCGGTCCGGACACTTTCCCCCCCCCCTTCCGGTCCGGACACTTTCCCCCCCGCCTTCCGGTCCGGACACTTTCCCCCCCGCCTTCCGGTCCAATCCAATCTTCAGCTTTCAGCGTTATCACACTTTGAATGACAATTGCGCGCTCATGCAACACTGTACCCATATGAATTTTTTTAGCGCTTTTTTTTGAAACAGATAACGCTTTTTATTTTGGTGGTATTTATTCACCACTGGGATTTTTATTGTTTGTGCTATATAAATGAAAAAGTCCAAACGTTTTGAAAAAAAAATGTTGCAAATAATCTTTCTTCATAAATCTTGGCCAAAATTTATTTATCTATCTTTTTTAGTAAAAAAAAAACAAAAAAACCCCAATTTAGTTTATAACCGAAAACTTAAAATTTTTTCCAAATTTTTTTTTTTTTACGTTTTAATTTAATTTTTTTTAATATTTGGTTGTTTTTTTTTTACATACTGTCACCCTAGCAGTAGAGTGTCACCATAGTATCTTTTTAGTAAAAAAAAAAATAACCCAAATTCGTTTAATAACCAAAAATTTATAATTTTTCAAACATTTTGTTTTTTTACATTTTTATTTTTTTATATATATTTTTTTTTTATTTTTTTTTTAATATACCATCGCCCTAGCAGTACAGTGTCACCATAGTGACACTGTACTACTTGGGGGTGATGAAGATTTTTTTTTTTTTTCTTTTTTTACACTGATTTGCTTTTACATCCAAAAAGGTGGTAAAAGCAAATCATTTCTCCTTCTGTCTGGCTGCATTCCTGCAGCCATTGAGAAATACTGTGAGAGCTGTGATTGGTCACAGCGTGTCACATGGTACAAGGCTGTTAATAGGCTTGTACCATGTGACCTCTGTGATCTTTCACAGATTTCAGTAGTAGTAAGCAATGATGTCGGGAAGTGACATCTTGGTTACTATTCCTGTTTGTCCAATCAGTGAACACATGAGTCAGGACCTCACGCAGAGGTCCCACACAGCGATCGGACACAGCGGTCACTGGAACGCGGTGCCGCACGCTCCCGGAGAGCGAATGTGGAGGCGTGTTTATAAACAGCCACCCGCTCCTGCACTGCTCCAGTCTGGCTGTTTATGTACATGGGCCAGACGGGAAGTGGTTAACCACCTGTGCAAAAACGGCTCTGGCAGCAAAAGGGTTAAATGTTTTTATACTAAAAAACGTATTTTAGACATGTTGTATAATTTTTTCAATAAAAAAATTATTTTAAACAAAAAAATAGAAGCAACACCACAGAGTATGTGTTATGTTCAGGATGATTACATATACAATCGTCACCAGAATATTGTCATTTGAAGTGTTCTCCTTTCCTTGTGGCAGGGCGAAACGCATTGCATCTGTCCGCGAAATATGGACACTCGTTATGTCTGCAGAAGCTTCTACAGGTGAGCGATTTTGTCTGTGGTGGGTGTGCCGTTCGATGTGCTGATCGGGTCTGTGTGGCTTATGCCCAGTATTTGTAATGCCACCAACGATGGGGCCTGATGAGAAGTTTAGAAGAAAAAAAATACAACCCCTTGCTGCAAAGACTGCTTACTGTTCATCAAATTAAGTCTTGAACCCCTCGCCCTCCAGAGGATCACCCCCCCCCCCCCCCCCCCTCGCCCTCCAGAGGATCCCCCTCTCGCACCCCCAGAGGATTTTTCCCCCTCTTTCCTGACCAGGCCATTTGTTGTGATACGGCGCTGCGTTACTTTAACGGACAATTGCGCGGTCATGCAATGCTGCACTCAAACTAAATTTTATGTCCTTTTTTCCCATGAATAGAGCTTTCTTTCGGTGGTATGTGACCCTCCTGTGCATTTTTTATTTTTTGCGCTTTAAAAAAAAAAACAAAAAACAATTTTTTAAATAAAAAGGCCAAAATGTTTATTCTGCTCCGTGTTTTTTGCTTTAAAAAAAAAAAAATCCCAATACGTGTAAATTAATCGGTTTACGTGAAAGTTATAGCGTTTACAAATGCGGTATAGATTTTTTCTTTAAATTTTTAATCGTAATGCGGCGATCAGCAACTTATAGCAGGACTGCGGCGGGCATTCTGACAATGGGGGCGGACTGACTTGGTGTCACTGACATCCCCCAGGGATGACAATAACAGTGATCAGTGCAAATGAAAAGCACTGACACTGTACTATGTAATATTTGTGTGTTTGTGTGTGTGTTAGATATTTGTGGGGTGTGTGGGTGTTTATATATATATATGGGTTGTGTGTTGGGGGGGTGGTTGTGGGGGTATATATGTGTGTGTGTGTGTGGTGTATGTATTGTATATAATATATGGGGTGTGTGTGTATATATATATATAATATATATTATAAATGTGTGGGGGGGTGTGTGTGTGTGTGTGTGTGTGTGGGGGGTGGGTTTGGTGTATCAGATTATGTGTTTGGTGGTGTGAGTGTTATGTTGTGGTTGTGTATATATTTTATAGGTTATATTGTGGGGTGTGTAATATATATGTGTGTGTGTTGTAATTATTGGTATGAGATTGTGGGTGTGTGTATTTATATATATGTGGGGTTGTGTTTATGGGGTGTATGTGGGTGTGTGTGTTATATATGTTTTGTGTGTGTGTGTTTATATATATTAAGGGTGGGTGTGTGTTGTGGGGTGTGGTGTGTGGGGTGGGGGGGATTTATAATATATAATATTTGTGGTGGGGGGGGTGGGTTTGGGGTATGTGTGTGTGGGGGGTACTATGGTGGGGGTGGGGGGGTAAAATATGGGGGGGGGGGGTGGGGGGGTTGTGTATTTTTATGTTTTTGTGTGTTATATATATATGTGTGGTGGTATAATATGGGTGGGTGTGTGTGTGGTGATATATATATATGTGTGTGTGTGTGTATTGTTAATTTATGTTTTTGGGTGGTATGTGTGTTATTTTATATGGGGTGTTTGTTGTGTGTGTGTTTTGGTTTTTTTTGTGTGTGTATTATTATATATATGTTTGTGGTGTGGTAGGTGTGTTGGGGTTGTGTATATATATATAATATTGTGGTGTGTGTGTGTGTGTGTGTGTGTAGTGGTAAATATATATGGGTATATATATTTATGGGGGTTTGGGATATATATATATATATATATATGGGGGGTATGGGTTTGGGGGTATAATGTTGTTTTTGTATGGTTTGTGTGTGTTTGTGTATGTGTGATCCCCTATTTCCCCTATTTCCCGGGGGCCCTATGAGTTGTCAGTCCGCCCGTGTGTGTATATAATTTATATATATATATTTTATTATTATACAGGATTGATATAGCGCCAGCAGTTTGCTCAGTGCTGTACATTAAATGGGAGACAGTACAGTAACAATACGATTCAATAAACGAGGGGTTCGGAGGGCCCTGCTCCTTGGAGCTTACAATCTAGGAGGGAGGGGAGAGTGGGTATAGGAGGAAATGGCTGTGGGGGATGAGGAGTGGTAGGAAGAGTGGATGAGGAGTTCAGTAATTAGCTGAGGGCGGGGTAGGCTTCCCTGAAGAGATGGGTTTTCAGGGTGCTCCTAAAGACAAGTAGAGTAGGGATAGTCTGATGGATTGGGGTACGGAGTTCCAGAGGATGGGGGAATCCAGGAGAAGTCCTGGAGACGAGCATGGGAGGAGGAGGCCAGGGAACTAGAGAGTAGGAGGTCTTGTGAGGGAGCGGGAGAGTATGGTTTGGGTGGTATTTGGATACCAGAATCGGTGATGTAGTTTGGGGCAGTGTTATGAACAGCTTTATAGGTCAATGATAGCATTTTGAACTTTATCCATTGGGCAATTGGGAGCCAGTGGAGGGATTGGCAGAGAGGGGGTGGTGGATACGGAGCGGTTAGTAAGGTGGATGAGTCTGACCGCAGCATTCATGATGGACTGGAGTGGGGATAACCTGAGGTGGGGTAAGCCGATGAGGAGGGAGTTACAATAGTCGAGGCGTGATATAATAAGGGAGTGAATGAGTTGCTTAGTGGTTTCCGAGGTTAGGAACGGACGTATCTTGGAGATGTTGTGGAGGTGGAGTCTACATGAGTTTGTCAGCGATTGGACCTGGGACTGGAAGGACAGATTGGAGTCTAGGATGACACCTAGTATTTTGACTTGAGGGGAGGGACTGATGGTGGTGTTGTTGGTCTTGATGGAGAAGTCGGGGGGGGCGCGGGCTGGGGGGGGAAGACTAAGAGCTTAGTTTTGGAACGATTTAGTTTGAGAAAGTGGAGTGACATACAATCCGATATGTCACTCAGTAGGCTTGTGATTCGGGGGGAGACTGAAGAGGTGAGAGGTAGAGAGATAGATTTGTGTGTCATCGGCATAGAGATGGTAGTTGAAGCCGTGGGAGTGTATCAGTTGGCCAAGGGAGGAGGTGTAGATGGAGAAGAGAAGGGGCCCGAGGACAGAACCTTGGGGGACCCCAACAGAGAGGGGGAGGGAGGTGGCAGCATTATAGGTAACACTGAAGGAGCGCTGTGATAAGAAGAGAGCCAGGAGAGAGCAGAGTCTCGGAGGCCAAGAGAGTGCCGTTTTTTTTTTTGAGGAGGAGGGGTGGTCAACCGTGTCGAAAGCCGCGGAGAGGTCGAGGAGTAGGAGCACTGAATAGTGGCCATTAGCTTTGGCGGTTAGCAGGTCGTTGGAGAGTTTGAGTAAGGCAGTTTCGATGGAGTGTAGGGGACGGAAGCCGGACTGTAGGGGATCAAGGAGGTTGTTGTCAGTGAGGTGGGCGCTTAGGCGATTATAGACTAGGCGCTCTAGGAGTTTGGATGTAAATGGCAGCAGGGAGATGGGTCTAAGGTTGTTCAGGTTGGTGGGATCCAGGGAGGGTTTTTTAAGTATGGGGGTGATGTGCGCGTGCTTTCCAGGGGAGGGGAATGCCCAGGAAGAGAAGGAGAGATTGAAGATGTGGGTGAGGGAGCGTAGGATGGAGGAAAAGGGTGATCTTAGGAGTTGAGGGGACAGGGTCAAGGGGGAAGGTGGTGAGGTGGGCTTCAGAGAAGACCTTAGTGACCAGCGCCGTGTATCAGCGCGTTCCAGTGCGTTTCATATGGTGACAGCGGGTGTGAGGAGACAATCCCCTGTCTGCTGTCACAGGGGGCGAGGGGGGGTGGGGGGTAGCTGCAGGAACTGGAACATCTTGCATGTTCCACCCCAAGAATGGTTTTGAATGTGGTTCAGGAAACGCACAGAACACAGATTTCCTGCAATGTGTTCTGGTGGGAGTTGGCCCTAACAGTCAGGCGCACGCAGAGGGATTACAAATCTTTGCTGCTGTGTGCGTCTAGTCTTCCTCAACATTCTGTAAGAACCAGATAGGAATGTAATTGGAGCTTTTCTTGGTGTCACTTATAACTGCAGATTTCTTTGCCTTTGTTTTTCTTTGTAGTTTAACTGCCCGACAGAGAATGTGGACCTGCAGGGGAGGACAGCGCTGCATGATGCAGGTACTGTGTGATCCGGGACGGTCACATTTTGTTCCTCGGTCGTCGTCCCCCCCCCCCCCCCCCCCCCCAGTCTTCCTCTGACGTGATGCGAACGTTCTTCACAGATGAGGTTTAGTTGCAGCTTATAGCGGACTTCTCATAAAAGGAATTCTGACGAGAGAAGATCACGGCTGCAGTTGGGAACTTCTCCTTTCCAAATGCTAGTTGCCAGGCTGTAATGCTGCCCCTTTCAGGTGCTCCCTGAGCCGCTGACGGGGGACAGGCTCGGAGACCAGGATTTTCACTTTTCCTCGACTTTGTTGCATGCTTGATTCTGTAACCCCAAAGAATGGAATGGATACGGTCAGGAAACTAACATTTTCAAAAAGGATAGTGATGCAGTGGCTGTGGGGAGTGCGGAGTGCACCTAGGTGACACCCGCCAGAAGGATGGCACCGACCGCATCGTACCCCCCTCCATGGATGGGCTCCACTGATTGGCGGAGGCAGTTGGCAGTGAAGAGGAAACGGAGGGTTGAGAGAAGGGGAGGGGAGCCAGAGAGTAGGGGGGGAGCCGCACATCGAATGTCACCCGGGGGGGGGGGTCACGGAATGGCAAACACTGGGGGGGGAAAGTTCACGGAATGGCACCCGGGGGGGGGGGGGGGCTTTCTGGGTGACAGTGTCATCTGGGGGGGGGTGTTACACTGAATGTCACCAGGGGGGGGGGTGTCACTGAATGTCACCGGGGGGGTGTCACTGAATGTCACCCGGGGGGGGTGTCACTGAATGTCACCGGGGGGGGGTGTCACTGAATGTCACGGGGGGGGTGTCACTGAATGTCACCCGGGGGGTTTTGTCACTGAATGTCACCCCGGGAGGGGGGGGTGTCGTTCTACTAAATCTCACCACGGGGGGGGGGGGTGTTGTTCAATGTCACCCGGGGTGGGGGAGTGACACCAGAATGTCACCCAGGGGGGTGTCACGGTATGTCATTTGGGAGGGGTCACCTGGTGTTTTGCCACACCAGGCGACACCAACCCTAGTGTTGCGTTATACAAAACTATTAGAGTAGTTTTTCACATTCTAGAATGGGGTGCCCCGGGACCGTCCATAATTTTAAAGGGTGCCTCGGGACTGTCTATATTTTTAAAGGGTGCCTTGGGACTCTCCATAATTTTAAAGGGTGCCTTGATTGAAAAAAGGTTGAGAAACACTGCTGTAGTTCTCCATGGTCTTCCAAGTGTATGACTCTGCCTTTGCTATTGAAAGTGATGTGTGTGCTATTTCGTCTACTATGGACATCTCCTCTCTTCCAGCCATGTCTGACTGCTGTTCCAGCGTGCAGCTTCTCTGTGATCACGGGGCTTTAGTCAGCGCCAAAGACTTGGTAAGAATTCAGACATTCCTGTTTCCTTCACCCACTTACAGCTGGGATTTTCCTCCTCCTTTGTCTGCGCTGCTACAGCCAGACTTTACTCCCACCGCTGTTTGTTTTGTGAGCTGAGATGGGCACAACGATTTTCTGATCTTCTGTCTGTTCAGGATGGAAGGTCTCCGCTTGCTTTGGCCACCCAGATGTGCCGTCCAGGTATCTGCCAGCTTCTGATAGAGAAAGGGGCTGAAATTAATGCAAGAGACAAGCAGAACAAGTAAGTGTTTGCCAGAAGTATATCGATCTCTAATACAGGGCTCGACAAATCCCAGGCGCCAGGTCGCCATGGTGACCTGAAACCGCATCATCCTGGTGCTTGAGCCCCAAGCGCACCGACCCGAACACCCCCAAACGCAGGGCCCGGGACTGGAGAAGTGTCAGGAGGAGAGAGCCAGGCAGAGGTGTGGGCTTTCTGTGCTCTCTCCTTTTCTGTCAGTGGAGCGCTCCTCCATTCAGCGGACTACACAGAATCACTCTTCGCTTGGTTACCCGCCCCCTACCCACAATTTCGGGAGATGAGCGGTCTTTGGAGGAGATGAGGGGGCAGGTAATCAGGCTGTGTACTGTCCAATGTAGGGGGGATCCTGTGTATTCTGGAGCGCTGATATGACAGGAGGAGGGAGAGCACAGAGAGCCAGCACCTCCTCACTACTCCTGTAGTCCCCGCATGTAAAATTGGACGGGGGGGGGGGTGGCCTGTTTGTGCAGGGGAGGGTAATGGGGGGGGGGGGGGGATTTGTGCTAGGAAGAGGAGTGTGGGGGGGTGGGGGGGTGTTAGAAGGCAGGGATTGGGGAAGATTTGTACTAGTAGGGTGAGGGGGATTTGTGCGGGAAAGGGTCATTTGGAGGGGGTTGAGCTAGGAGAGGGGATTTTTTTTTGGGGGGGGGGGTGAGGATCTGTACTAAGAGGGGGAGAGAATTTGTGCTGGGATTGGGGATATGGGGGGAGGATTTTTTTAGGAGTAGGTTTTGGGGGTGGGGAGGGTTTATACTAAGAGGTAGGATTTGGGGGGGGGAGGAGTTACACGAGTAGTGGAGATTTGGGGGAGAGGGTATGTGCTAGGAGGGGCAATTGGGGGGGATTTGTACTAAGTAGGGGGGTTTGGGGGGGGGGGGAGATTTAGCTAGGAGAGGGGATTGGGGGGGATATGTACCAGGAGGGGGTTTCTGAGGGGCAGAGGATTTGTGCTGGGATTGGGGATATAGAGGGAGAATTTTGTTAGGAGGTTTTGGGGGTGGGGGGAGGATTTGTACTAGGAGGTAGGATTTGGGGGGAGGAGTTGCGTTAGTAGCTGAGAGGATATGTGCTAGGAGGGGGCAGTTGGGGGGGATTTGTACTAAGAGGGGTGATTGGAGGGGGAAGATTTAGATAGGAGAGGGGATTTGGGGGAGAAGATTCATGCTAGTAGTGAAGATTTGGGGGAGAGGATTTACATTTAGGAGGGGAATTTGGGGGCAAGATTTTTTGCTAGGAGCTGGGATTTGGGGGAGAGGATTTGTGTTGAGGGTAAATTTGGGGGGGGGGGATTTAGGGGAAAGGATTTGGGAAGAGGATTTGTTCTAGGAGGGGTAATTTGGGGAGGGGGTTTATGCTAGGAGGGTGGATTAGTGGCAGAGGGTCTATGCTATGAGGGGGGAATTTGGGGAGAAGGTCTACGCTAGGAGGAGGGAATTTAGGGAGAGTGTCTACGCTATGAGGGAGGAATTTGGGGAGAGGGTTTACGCTAGGAGGGGGGAATTTGGGGAGAGGGTCTACGCTATGAGGGAGGAATTTGGGGAGAGGGTTTACGCTATGAGGGAGGAATTTGGGGATTTGGTTTATGCAATGAGGGGAATTTGGGGAGAGGGTTTACGCTAGGAGGGGGGGAATTTGGGGAGAGGGTTTACGCTATGAGGGAGGAATTTGGGGATTGGGTTTATGCTAGGAGGGGGGATTTGGGGAGAGGGTTTACGCTAGGAGGGGGGATTTGGGGAGAGGGTTTACGCTATGAAGGAGGAATTTGGGGAGAGGATTTACGCTAGGAGGGGGGATTTGGGGAGAGGTTTTACGCTAGGGGGGGGGAGAGGGTTTATGCTAGAAGGGGGGAGGGTACTAGGAGAGGAATTTGTGGGGAAGTGGAGATTTGGGGGAGAGAGTTTACGCTAGGCGGGGGCCTTGGGGGTAGAGGAATTGTGTTAGGAGGATGATTTACACTAAAAGGGGAGATTTGGGGGAGAGGGTTTGTGTTAGCAGGGGAGATTTGGGGAGGGGGGGGGATTTACATTCGGAGGGGGGATTTGGGGGAAGATTGACTCCTAACTTTTTTAGCGGTCTCCTAGATTCAGAGCACATTTGTAAAGCCCTGATCTAATATGAATACTATTATACAGGATTTATATGGCGCCAGCAGTTTGCGCAGCGCGGTACAACACGAGGGCAGACAGTACAGGAGGATCGGAGGGTCCGGCCCATTAGCACTGACATCGTAAAATGTATAAAAGTTATGATCTGTGGACTAAGGAGACATTTTCTGTTACCAGGACACCTCTGATGCTGGGATGTGAATACGGCTGCAAGGAGGCTGTGGAGATCCTGCTGAGAGCCGGAGCCGATGTCGGATTGGTGGACTCTTTGGGACACGATTGCGCCTATTACAGCAGAATCGGGGATAACCTTGAGATCCTGAACCTGATAAGGACTGCTGTAGAAAATTCACCACGAGGTCACTTTTTTTTTTTTTTCTAGTTATGTTTTGGAATGTAATTAAGATTTTCAAATGCAAATGAAATTACGGCCGAAACTTTTTGAGTGTGGAAGGATTTTATTGCTTTCACAATGGGAAGCTTTCCCCTCACTTCCTGTCTTGGTGACACAACAGGAACTGGAAGATAAACACCCTAGAATGAGAGGAAATACCCTTTTGACAGTTCTAGTGAGGACTTTCTCATTTTAGATTCTGCTTCACTTTATGTACCAATGAGAATGTTCACCTCAACAGGAAATGAAAAGAAATCTCCCCGACTTTGAGGTTCTTACCATTCCCCACTATGCCTAAGACTGAAGTTAGTGAGGTTTTTGTTTTGGGTGAGGGGATATTGGGTTTTGGTGTCACGTTTTAGGCTCAAAATTGGAAAAAAATAAGTTAAAGCAGAACTCCGAGAGCTTTTTTTTTCACCCATGAAGTTTGGCTTTGCCTGCAATGTATTGGGTCTCCCCGGACCCCGCGTTCACTGTGTCCGCTCTCCCCGGACCCCGCGTTCACTGTGTCCGCTCTCCCCGGACCCCGCGTTCACTGTGTCCGCTCTCCCCGGACCCCGCGTTCACTGTGTCCGCTCTCCCCGGACCCGCGTTCACTGTGTCCGCTCTCCCCGGACCCCGCGTTCACTGTGTCCGCTCTCCCCGGACCCCGCGTTCACTGTGTCCGCTCTCCCCGGACCCCCGCGTTCACTGTGTCCGCTCTCCCCGGACCCCGCGTTCACTGTGTCCGCTCTCCCGGACCCCGCGTTCACTGTGTCCGCTCTCCCCGGACCCCGCGTTCACTGTGTCCGCTCTCCCCGGACCCCGCGTTCACTGTGTCCGCTCTCCCCGGACCCCGCGTTCACTGTGTCCGCTCTCCCCGGACCCCGCGTTCACTGTGTCCGCTCTCCCCGGACCCCGCGTTCACTGTGTCCGCTCTCCCCGGACCCCGCGTTCACTGTGTCCGCTCTCCCCGGACCCCGCGTTCACTGTGTCCGCTCTCCCCGGACCCCGCGTTCACTGTGTCCGCTCTCCCCGGACCCCGCGTTCCACTGTGTCCGCTCTCCCCGGACCCGCGTTCACTGTGTCCGCTCTCCCCGGACCCCGCGTTCACTGTGTCCGCTCTCCCCGGACCCCGCGTTCACTGTGTCCGCTCTCCCGGACCCCGCGTTCACTGTGTCCGCTCTCCCCGGACCCCGCGTTCACTGTGTCCGCTCTCCCCGGACCCCGCGTTCACTGTGTCCGCTCTCCCGGACCCCGCGTTCACTGTGTCCGCTCTCCCCGGACCCGCGTTCACTGTGTGGTCCGCTCTCTCCCGGACCCCGCGTTCACTGTGTGTCCGCTCTCCCCGGACCCCCGCGTTCACTGTGTCCGCTCTCCCCGGACCCCGCGTTCACTGTGTCCGCTCTCCCCGGACCCCGCGTTCACTGTGTCCGCTCTCCCCGGACCCCGCGTTCACTGTGTCCGCTCTCCCCGGGACCCCGCGTTCACTGTGTCCGCTCTCCCCGGACCCCGCGTTCACTGTGTCGCTCTCCCCGGACCCCGCGTTCACTGTGTCCGCTCTCCCCGGACCCCGCGTTCACTGTGTCCGCTCTCCCCGGACCCCCGCGTTCACTGTGTCAGCTCTCCCCGGACCCCGCGTTCACTGTGTCCGCTCTCCCACAGTACACAAAACATGGAAATGCAATTATTTTAGCAAATATAAACTGCTAAATACCTTTTCTCATCAGCAGTATATAGCAGTCTTGTGACTTCTATCAGTGTTCAGCAGATCACTGGGTAAAGCTTGTAGGAGGAGTTTTCTTTCTGCTCTAGGAGGATGCAGAACCCCTGACCTCTGTCTGGACAGTGCTGATTGGCCTTGTGCTGATCACATGCACTCCCAAGAAAAAAATTCTAGCAATACACACCAAACTGAGCATGTGCAGTGTGATTCCACATGATATGTCTTATCAGGAGATGATAGAGAGACACTGGAACAAGGGGAGGATCAGAGAAGACAGGATCAAACAGCATATTTAAACAATGCGGAGGATTAACCCCTTAGGTTCCACAGTGAGTATAACAAGCACGCTTTACTGCATCTACAGACTGATTGTACTGTCGGGGGGTTTGGTAATACTTTTAAGTATCTCTGCTATCTGAACCCCTAGACAAGAACGAGTTTATAATTCCTGCAGTGCAGACACAGCCCAACCGCATGGGAAAAAAATTTGCTGGAGTTCGTCTTTAAAGTGTAGAACAGAAAATATCTGTGGTCCGCAGTTTTCATTGAAAATGAAACAGTTTGACCAGTTTGCTATGCGACCTTGTCGTCTAGACCAGGGGTAGGCAACCTGCGGCTCTCTGGCTGTTGTGGAACTACATTTCCCATGAGGCATTGCAAAGATTACAAAACAGTTACAGCTATGACTTGCAGAGGCATGATGGAACTTTGTAGTCCTGCGGCTCTCAGGTTTCCTACCCCTGGCCTAGACTGTGTGTGTATGTATGTATGTATATATATTTTATTTTATATATATATATATATATATATATATATATATATATATATATATATACTATATATATATATATATATATATATATATATATATATCTATCCCACCAGGGGCGGACTGACAACTCATGGGGCCTCCGGGCAATAGGGGATCGTGGAACCCCTGTGTCCTTGCCCACACTCAAAGCACACCCAAAAAAGCCTATAAAAAGGTACCAGGGGCATTTCATGGGGCCCCATACTGACCCTGGGCCCTTGGGTAGTGCCCGAGTACTTGAATGGTCAGTCCGCCCCTGTATCCCACCCACTGTCAGGTGGCATTGTCACCAGATAATCCATGTCATTCACCTTACCTGACAGCGGTCATAAAGTTATGGCTCATTGGTGTACGTTTCAAATGGGCTCTGAAGAGCGTGGAAGATGGTCGCTGACTTTTGTATTTTCTCGCAGGTGCTGATCCTTTAAGAAGCAAAGTGTCTTTACGAGCGGTGAGTTTTAAATGGTTTTGTAGATAAATCACTGCTAGTCCTAGGAAGATGTATTTGTTTACACGCACACACTACATGGGTACAAGCCCTTGACCCCTCACCCTTCAGAGGATTTCCCCCCCCCCTGACCAGGCCATTTTTTGCATTACCCCCAGGTTCACATCTATGCGGCTGTACGGGCGCATTTTGCACAGTCAAGAGAGCAGTCTTCTCTGCCCTCCCCCCACACTCACTGGAGAGCTGGGCGGGGATGGGAGGAGGAAGCGGATCGCTAAGAGGCTGAGCCAGGTGCCGACCTGGACTCTGGGGTGCATCCCGACTTCAAAGTCGGGATCTTTCCCCAGCCCGGACCAGTATAGTGACTTCAGCCCGCTGTCAGCTGAAAACGGGTCCCAGGAGTGCAGAACGAACTGCGTTCCTGTGATCCACAGCAGAAGTGCAGCCAAAAGCTTTGGCTGTACATCTCCTTTTAAGGCTCGTTCACATTTGACTTTATTTCTAACTCTTGCCGAACGCCTCTATAGCGTTTACCAGGCGTTTGGGAAGGGCGTTTTTAACGCTCCCCAAACGCCCTATGCGCGGTTTTGAGGCGGTTGATAAGCATTTGCCAAGTGTTAAAAACGCTTCCCAAACGCCTATCATGAAGTTAAATGGTATTAACGCTCCGCAACTGCATCACAATCGTTTGCGGAGCGGTCAATAGACTTGAATGGGAGGCTTCAACTCCTCCTGAATAGACACGAGGCGTCCGTTTTGCCGCGACGCTAACGCTTCAGTGTGAACAGCGCTGTGCAGAATTTTCATAGGCGTTTGAGAAGCATTAAAAAACGCTTCCCAAACGCCTGTCAGACGCCTGCTGACAAAGCTAGTGTGAATTGAGCCTAATGCAGGCCATAGACGGGTCGAAAACTGTCCGTTTAAAAAAAAAAAAAAAAAAAAAAAAAAAAAAGTCGTTAAATAGGCCGACGTTACCACAAGCGGTAAAAAACAAAATTGACCGATTTTCTTCCTATCTACGGCCGGCATATTATTACTTCTGTCCCTGCAGAGAGCTCCGCTATTATATTTGACATGAAAAAGTCCTCGCGGTTGCAACAATGTATTTTTCTGATACAGATGTTTTTATTCGGATACAAATAGATACATTGTTGCAACCGCAATACGTTTCATGTCAAATATAATAGCGGACTGGAATTCTTTTTCTTCTTTTTCTTGCAGGTCACGGCTCATGCGCAGATTTTTTTTTAATCGGTAAAACGATCGGCCGATATGCCCATCATTGCCGGGAAAATCGGCCGATCAGCAGATTTTTTTTCCAACTTTACCGATAAAGCAAAATATGCCAAAACCCGAAAAAGGTCCGACCAATTAACCCACTAACGGTACGAAAATCTGCCGATTTTCGACCCGTCTATGGCCTGCATAAAGCATCTACAGTGGATACAAAAAGTCTTCACACCCCTCTGTTAAATGTCCAGTTTCTGTGATGTAAAAAAAAATGAGACAAAGATCAATCATTTCAGAACTTTTTCCACCTTTTAATGTAACCTATAAACTGTACAACTCGGCTGAAAACTGAAATCTTTTAGAGCGGGGAAGTAAATATGAAAAAAAACTAAAATAATCTGGTTGCATAAGTGTTCACACCCTTACACTAATCCTTTGCTGAAGCCCCTTTTGATGTGATTCCGGCACTCAGTCTTTTTGGGGAGGAGTCTATCAGCACGGCACAGCCTGACTCGGCAATATTTGCCCGCTCTTCCTTGCAAAAACACCCCGAATCTGTCAGCTGGTGAAGGCATCTCCTGTGCACAGCCCTCTTCAGATCACCCCACAGATGTTCGATCGATTCTGGTCTGGGCTCTGGCTGGGCCATTCCACAACTTTCATCTTCTGGTGAACTGTTCAGCCGAGTTGTACAGTTTATAGGTCACATTAACCCCTTGCCTACCAGGCACTTATACCCCCTTATTTACCAGGCCAATTTTCAGCTTTCAGCGCTGCCGCACTTTGACAATTGCGCGGTCATGCAACATTTTACCCATATGAAATTTTGATAATTTTTTTCTCACAAATAGAGCTTTCTTTTGGTGGTATTTAATCGCCACTGGGCGCTTTACTTTTTGCGCTATAAATAAAAAAAGTGCAAAAAATTAAAAAAAAAAAAAAAAAAAGTTTCTTTGTTTCTATTATAAAATTTTTCAAACAGGTATTTTTTCTCCTTCACTGATGTGCGTTGATGAGGCAACACTGATGGGCACTGATAGGCAGCACTAAAGGTGTCACGGATAGGCCAGCACTAATAGGTGCAGCACGGATAGGCGGCACTGATAAGACAGCACTAATGAGGTGTCACGGATAGACGGCACTGATAGGTGACACTGATAGGCGGCTGATAGGTGACACTGATGATGGCACTGATAGATGGCACTGACTGGCATCACTGCTGGGCTGCAATGGACTGGCACAACCCCTGGGCACTGACTGGTGGGTGCACTGTGGGTGGCACTGGTGGGCACAGGACTGGCAGCACACTGCTGGCCACTGCTGGGCACAGGTGGGTGGCACAGGGCACAGGTGGCACAGGTGCAGAGTGGCACAGGTGGGTGCACTGGTGGGCACAGGTGTGTGACACTGCTGGGCACAGGTGGGCGGAGCTAGTGGGCGCACTGCTGG